GGGAGGCAACAGATTGATGTGTCTCTCTCACATCGATGTTTCTCATTCTCCGTTCCTCTCCCTCCCACTCTCTCTAAAAATCAGTGGAAAAATCCTCAGGGGAGGATTAACACACACAAGGTGAGGACATGCAGTAACTTGCCATATGAGGACGTTATTAATTTGCCCAGAATCTCCCTTGTTGCTAAGTGATTGAGCTGGGATGGGAACCCAGGTCTTTCACCAAAGCCCTGGTGGGCTTCTTAACCATCGGACTGTACTGTCTTGTTTGTTTTTTAGCTGTTTCCACTTTCCAGTATGATCGTTTCTTTGAGAAGAAAATTGATGAGAAAAAAAATGACCATACCTATCGAGTTTTCAAAACTGTGAACCGGAGGGCACACCTCTTCCCCATGGCGGATGACTACTCAGACTCCCTCATCAGCAAAAAGCAGGTGTCGGTCTGGTGTAGCAATGACTACCTGGGGATGAGTCGCCACCCCCGGGTGTGCGGGGCAGTCATGTGAGTAGCCCTCAGCTTGCAGAGTCTATTGACGTTATTTGGCAGGACATGGGTGATTTATAGGGATTGGGTCTTTTATGGGGCAATGGATATGCAGCAGCGGGAGGTGGGCCATAGCAGAGTACTGTTCTTAGCCTTTAAAAATAGCTGCAGGTGACTTTCAAAGACACCTGATGTGCGAGTAGTTGGTGGGGCCCCTTTGTGTGGGCGGTTTGAGTTTAGGGGTTGGTCGTATGCCTGTCTGTCCACTTCCTGCCTGCCACTCCACACAGGAGTGTGCCTTTGACACCAGGCAGCCTTGCTATGGCTTCAGGGGCATAACCACGAGCCCAGCGGCACTGGGGAGAAAGCTGCTTCAGAAAGACGTTCAGAAGGCTGGCAGGTCTCCTCACTCGCAGTCTTTAGGAGGGTGCCATGGCTAGGGGCACTTCAGGACGCTGGAAGAGCTGCTTGCTGGATGGAGAGAGCCCCACCTGGGGTTTAGTGAGAGCTTGTCCTGACATGCGGCTGGTCTGCAGAGGGTTAGGTAGCCTCTGCCCACGACATCCCTCTGAGCCTGATGTCATGATATTGGTGCGTGGTGTTTGCACAGGAAAGAAACAGTACAGTGACTCAGCCGACTGTTAGGCGAACTCTTGACCCCTGGAGGCATCATCGCCCTGTGCTGGGACCTTCCTCCTTGTCATCTAAAGACAAAGTGGGTAGAAAGTTCTGGCCACAGGCTTCCTAGTGAGAGGGGTCCTAGACCCAGAGAGGCAGCGGTTCGTGTGGTGTTCACACCACGAGGCTTATTTTCTCTGCCTGCTTTTTAAGGGACACCTTGAAACAGCATGGCGCCGGAGCGGGTGGCACCAGAAACATTTCCGGAACTAGTAAATTCCACGTGGACCTGGAGCAGGAGCTGGCCGACCTCCACGGGAAGGACGCGGCCCTCCTGTTTTCCTCGTGCTTTGTGGCCAACGACTCGACCCTCCTCACCCTGGCCAGGATGATGCCGGGTAAGGGCGCCGGGGCCTTGGGTCAGTTGCCCATGGTCAGCTGCGGTCCAAAAATATTAAATGGGAAGCTCCAAAAATAAATAATTTATAAGTTTTAAACTGCATGTTATTCCACGGTGTGTGATGAAGTCTCGCCAAGCGCTGCTCCAGTGTCTCCATGCTGCTGGCGCTCTGCCCGTTACGTCCCTCAGCGGCCGTCTCAGGTTACCTGTCAGGACATCACGGTGCTTGAGCTCAGATCACCCTTCTTTTACTCAGTGACGGCCCAGAGCGCAAGAGTGGTGGCACTGGCAGTTCGGGCATGACCAAGAACAGCCGTAAAGGGCTTCCTTTAAGTCGGGTGCGGAACCTTTTTTCTGCCAAGGGCCGTTTGGGTATTTATAACATCACTCTCGGGCCGTGCAAAATTAACAAAAATTAGCCCGTTATATTTGGTCAAACAATTAACTCACCCCTAATGTGATGGCCGGAACTGCTGCTTTTTGGCGAGGACTTGGCAGGGCCGGGCCAAATGATTTTGTGGGCCGAACGTTCCCCACCCCGGTCCACACCTGTGGGCCTTCTCGAAGGCGACGCCCTAGTTCGCAGGTTTGCCAGGAAGAAACCAGCTCGCAGTGGCTTTTTCCTGCAGAGCGAATGCAGCGTTTTCTGAGCCAAGTCTGTTGTCCCCGACTATCTAGGGAATAATTTGTCTGTGGTACAGATGGCAGTAAATAACATTTTTTGCCGTGTCAGGTTGTGAGATTTACTCCGATTCTGGGAACCACGCCTCCATGATCCAGGGGATCCGGAACAGCCGGGTGCCAAAGTACATCTTCCGCCACAATGACGTCAGCCACCTCAGGGAGCTGCTGCAGAGATCTGACCCCCAGGTCCCCAAGATAGTGGTGTTTGAAACTGTCCACTCAATGGATGGTGAGTCGAAACAGGCCATCTGAAACCTGAAGTGAAAAACTGCTTGAACTCTTTAAAATTGTGTTTTGTTTTTGAAATTTATTTTTTCTGTCTGCTAGGATTTTGTAATTGGTGGACATTGTATAGATTTGGGTAAATGTGGATTTTCTAGTCTGGCTTTTACTCGGCTCTAAGACCCCAAGATCACCTGGAAGCTGGGGGAAGTTCATTTTCCTCCCCAGGATGACAAATGATGCCTAGAACACGAGCCGTTTTGATGTGGCCAACTTCTACCAGAGCAGAAGTCTGAGGTGTCAAGCCCTCCAGAGTGGTCTGTCTCTCTCCGCAGGGGCAGTGTGCCCGCTGGAGGAGCTATGTGATGTGGCCCACGAGTTTGGGGCGATCACCTTCGTGGATGAGGTCCATGCAGTGGGGCTGTACGGAGCCCGAGGCGGAGGGATTGGCGATCGGGACGGAGTTATGCCGAAGATGGACATCATTTCTGGAACCCTCGGTACGTGTGCTCCACACATCCTGCAGTTTACCCTAAATTCCACGGTCCCAGTGAGTCCGCAGACCGGCTGGTCTCACTGGGGCCAGGTGGGGAGCGTGGAAAGCCTGGACTACTTTTTGGGGTGAGTTTTTATTTTCTCAGTGAGGGGGTGGCGCAGCCTAGCATAATCCCTTGGAGCCTGTGGGCCTGGTCCCCAGAATCGAAGTAAATCTCACAGCCGACGTGACAGAAACGCCAGTTGTTGCCGTCTGAGCTCATTCCGGACAGTTGTGGCTCTGGTCATGTGCATGGCAACAGCCTCCACTCGGTGCCTCAAGTTGTTCCCTGGTGTTAAAAGAACTAGAATTTTAGTGCTGGTCTCCGAGCAATTGTTAGGACCAGTGGGTTCAGGGGTCGTGACATGCTGAGCTCTGTGCCACGTGCCTGCCATGTGGAAACCAGTCACGGCACCCAGCCATTCCGTGTTTCTGCTGCTGCTCCTCGCTGAGAGGCAGGGTCTCCTGGGGCCAGACCCAGAGTCATGCTGTCTGCTGGTGTAAGTCCTATTCGCACAACTCACTTGCTGTTACCCTGGGCCGGTGGTTGGCCAGTGCCAGTCTGTGCCTCAGTTTCCTCTTCAGTGGAATAGCGATGATAGCACCTCAGATTCCGTGGGGAAAGTAAATGAATTGTGTGGAAACAGTTACTGTGGACATTCTCTTTGTGAGGCTCTAAAGAGATGAAAGTGTAAATCCTATAAATGTGAGGATTTCAAGTTAGTAAGGCAGTCGGGGAGACCCAAGAGGTAGTTGGTAAAGGAAGGGCAGGCCGACAAGTGTGTCCTTCAGCGCTGTTGCAGGGGCGGAAGACCCCCAGCAGACCCCATGTAGGCCCTGGACAGACCCAGAGAGCCCGCTCGGGTCCGGCCTTCCTGGGAGGAGGCCCTTGTCCACGTGTCCTGATCCCAGCAGCTCTCCTTTCACCGAGCTCTTGTGACGTGGGCTCTTTGGAAGTACGGTTACTGTGAGATGGAAAAGGCGGGGAGAGAAATTTTCTACTAAGAGCTTACACCACCCACCCCTGCATGGGATTCAGCCGGAATATTACAGAACATGATGTTATGGTCTCAGGGGACTGTGGAGTTGTTAACCCTGAAACATGAGATACGGATTATGTAAAGGCCTTAACAAGGATGGGAGGAGGAGGCGGGCCCCAGATTGCCTGGGCAGGTTCTGAGTTTTCGTGTTTATCTGGCAAATAAATGTTGATCGTCAGTTTTGTTTACTTAAGTAGGAAATAACACCGGTCCTACCAAAACAGCTAAATGCCCTAGTCGGGTTGCATTCCTCCTCCAGGGCTGTGCTCGCAGCGGGAGTTCCTCCTGGAGGCGCAGTGGAGGGTGCGGGAGCCGGGGGGAGGGCGGCAGCTTGGTGTTCGGGCGCATGCGTGGCTGTGGACTGTGGGTGACACGCTTTCACGGCTTCCTCAGTTTCTCCCTTTCAGAGATGGGTGGCCATCCCTTCCGTCTTAGGGCAAACTAAGGAGGGAGAACAGCAGGCACCCCAAGGCTCTCGCGCCCTGCTGTGCGGACTTAGGGCTGCTGCCTAATAAGCTAACGAACAGGCCTCCTGCAGGCAAAGCCTTCGGCTGTGTGGGCGGCTACATCGCCAGCACCAGCGCCCTGGTCGACACCGTGCGCTCCTACGCGGCCGGCTTCATCTTCACCACCTCCCTGCCGCCCATGCTGCTGGCCGGGGCGCTGGAGTCCGTGCGGGTGCTCAAGAGCGCCGAGGGCCGGGCGCTGCGGCGCCAGCACCAGCGCAGCGTCAAGCTCCTGCGGCAGATGCTCATGGACGCCGGCCTCCCCGTGGTCCACTGTCCCAGCCACATCATTCCTGTCCGGGTATGGCCCGTCGGGCTGCGCCCACTGCTCCGGGCCTGCCTGAAGCCGGGCTGGGTGGGTGGCTGCTGGGCGGGGCTGGAGCCAGCGTCCCTTGCTGAATTTCCCTCTGCTGTTGTGCCGACTTCACAGTGAGAGTGAAGCCTTTGAACCCAGCTGGCTGGAGCGGAGGGCTTGTACCTGGGAAACTCCAGAAGCCAGCGCTCAGCTGGCTTTGAAAGAGTTTCCTATTTAGTTAATTTCAAAATAAGTCTTGCCTTTCCCTTTACAGACAGAAACCCTGTTGGTGTCACAGTCCAGTTAGTGTAGTCAATGCAGCTGGTGTACCCAAAGGTGCACACAGCTTTCTCCGTCCCCAAGGTGCACACATCCCTGGCTTGGGACTGGCTGGTGTCAGCTGCAGTCACAGCCACCGCTCCCCCACGCACATCTGGGGCTGTCGCGGATGTCCACCTCTCCTAATGTGGGTCTCTGTCTGCTGGGCAGTGCGTCACCTCTCCCAGCTGGTGTGTGCACCTCACAGCGAGGGGTTCACTAGAGTCTTTGCTAGGAGGTGGTCCATCCTGCCCTGACCTGACCTTCTGTCATCATCAAACCCAGGTGGCGGATGCTGCTAAAAACACAGAAGTCTGTGACGAGCTAATGAGCAGACATAACATCTACGTGCAAGCCATCAACTACCCCACAGTGCCCCGGGGGGAAGAGCTGCTGCGGATCGCCCCCACCCCACACCACACCCCCCAGATGATGGACTACTTCCTTGGTGAGTGTGGCAGCCTCTGTGCAGAGCCCTGTCCAAGCTCTCAGTACAGAACTCTAAACAACACTCAGGTGTTTGATTCAGCGTAGGAGGCTGCAGTCACTCGGAAGCTCGGAGGGAGCCTGCTAACCCTCCCAGGTGGTCCAGCGCCCCCTGGTTGGGTGACAGGATGCTCGGAGGGAGCCTGCTAACCCACCCAGGTGGTCCGTGCCCTAGCGGGAGTCAGGCTTCCTTGGTTCACACAGACCACATTTGTCCATCAGTTGTGGACTGTTATGAAGAGTGCTGCTGTGAGCACCTGTGTTCCGGTTCTGGGGTGGACATATTTTCCTGTCTCTTCAGTGTATGTTCCTTTTAATTTTGTGAAACTGTTTGTCCTCACAGAGAATCTGCTGGCCACATGGAAGCGAGTGGGGCTGGACCTGAAGCCACATTCCTCGGCCGAGTGCAACTTCTGCAGGAGGCCGCTGCATTTCGAAGTGATGAGTGAGAGAGAGAGATCCTTCTTCTCGGGCATGAGCAAGCTGGTCTCTGCTCAGGCCTGAGCGTGTTGTGACCCTAAGTACCCACCCGACCCTGCCGTTCTGTGCCCACATGGTCTCTAGTATCGTCTTTCTGTGTGGATTAAATTATATTAAGTTTAATCTATAGTAAAAGCATAGCTCTGAAAATAAATTCTTGTTTAAGTGACGGGTCCTCCTGTTTCTGGCTCCTGAATCAATAAGTCAGTTTCTCGTCCTTTCATCTTGGTCTGTGCTGCTGAGATGTACGAAGTGTGTGAACACACACCGGTCCTCCGGGCACAGCTTCAGACCTGGCCGGAGTGGCAGGACCTCCGCTCTGCTGGAGCCCAGCACCTCCGAAAGCCCACTGTGTCCCTCTGGTGGCTCACTCCCTGCAGCCCCACGGCTCTGACAAGTCACCGCAGTGAAGCAGTTCCACTTTCAATTTCTTTCCTCCAGCCTTAACCGCATTGCGTGCCACCCAGCGACCCCACTGCAGCTGCCGGCTTCCCTCTCCCAGCTGCTGTCTGGACCTCACTTCCCTGTGGAAGTCAGCCTGCCCCGCCCGTCACGTGTCCCCTCCAGGACGGGCGGGCCTGTGCTCCTCACCCTGGCTCCCTCCCTCGCATCCTGGGCCCACCGCTTCCTGCGTGTTCCTACAGCAGCCGTTTCCACCACGAATCCCTCCGCGCCCTGCTCAGCCCGTTGGCCTGCAGCCGGCTTTGTTATCCCCCTGAAAGCAACCAGGCTCGGGGGTCCTCCGACGAATGAGTAAGGGTGGTACATATGCCCAGTGGAATATCACGCAGCCGTGAAAACCGGCCACTGCCACTGCTGCAGCAGGGATCTTGAGAGGATCCTGCTAAGTGACGTCAGGTGGGAAAGGACAAGCACCTGTGGTTTCACATGTGGGACATAAACCATCAAAAACCTCACACGAGAGTGGAGGTTGGGGCCGGGGCAGGATGGAGGTCACACAGGGCAACGAAAGACGGATACAAAGTTGTCCACCTGTAACGTTAGTAACCAACCTGACCCCAGGCACTTAACAAAACAACCAGCTCTCGGCCCCTTCCAGCTGCTGCCCTGCCTCTTCCCTGCCCGGTCTTTGGTTCCTGTCCCTACGGCGCCGCTCTCTGGGCCCGTCGCGCTGTCCGCGGCCCGTTCCGCTGGCCTGCCCTCAGCGCTCCCGGCGGCGGTTGCGGTGGCCGCCTGGGCCTTCTCAGGCTTTCTCCTCTGGACTTTCTCCTCTGCCTGCGACGCCTCCAATTCCCCCATCAGCCGCTTCCTCTAACTGCACTTAACCCCTTCCCTCCCCACGTGGCCTCGCCCGGCCTGGGCTTTCAGTCCAGCACCTGGAGCCGCCGGTCCCGAGGGCACCCCGTCTGCGGCTCCGCCCCCGCCTGACCATCGTCTGCCCACTGCCCGGGCCTCGTGCGGCGGTCAGCCGTCGGTCCTCATGCGAGACTCTCAGCTACACCTCGGGCCAGGCCACTTCCCATCGCCAACACGGCTACCATCGCACCCGCGGCGGTCATCTCGACATCTGCCCCAGCCCCTACCCCGACCCCACGCGGCGGCCTGAGAGCTTCTAAAAATACAGGTCACGTCCCTCCCTAGCAGAAAACGGTCCTGGGCTTTCCAACCCGCACCCAGGTGAAACGACCCCCCGGAGCCGACGTGTGCTCCAGGAGTCCCAGCCTCACGTCTTCCTCTGCCTCACGTGTCTGCGTGCGCCCCTGAGCCTCAAAAACCCCAGGAGGGTCTCTGGCCCCCGGGCCTGGTGGTAGCCACTGTTCCTCTGCCCAGGTTTTCCTACCCCAGGTCGTGGTGGGGCTGCCTCTCTCCACACAGGACGAGGGGCCTAAGGAGACCTTGCTCGCCCCCCCGCCTGAGGCAGCCTCTCGGGCTCTCACCATCACCTGACCGCCAACCATCCACGCTGCCCTTCGAAGCACGGTCACCACCACAGGGACCTCTCTGTCTTGCTCACTCCTGCAGCCCCAGTGGCCAGCACAGTACCCAACACGCCGTCGGCACTGAGCCGAGTGTGTGCCGAAGGAAGGGGAGGGGACAGTCCCTGTAGCAGAACACCAGAGACTCAACAACGGACATTGATTTCTCACAGTTCTGGAGGCTGGAAGGTCCAAGACCCAGGTGCTGGCCGACTCGGCTCCTGCTGAGGGCTCCCCTCCTGGCTTGTGGGCCTCCGCCTTCTCGCTGGGGACTGAATTCACGTGGCTCTTCCTCTGCACGTGGGTGGGCGGGGAGATCTCTTCTTTCCTCTTCCTGCGAGGCCACTAATCCCTCCTGAGGGCCCCACTTCATGAGCTAGTCTAAACCTACCTTTCACAGGTCTCACCTGCAAACACCATCACACTGGGGTTAGGGCCTCAACGTATGAATCTGGGAGGGACACACACGTTCAGCCCATAAGAGGAACCAACGATAGCATCCAAGCCCTCTTCAGAAGGAACAGGTGAGCTGCAGAAAACCCAAGCCGCTGGAGAACAGAGAGAACCTCTCAGCCTGTTCCCCACTCTCAGCTCGAGAAAGGGCCACTGTGCTGCACCCCTTCTGGGCAGAGCTATGCTGGTGTCCCAGGGGCTGGGAGCGGACACACACACACCCTACACCCTACCAGCCCTGCGCTGCAGAGAGCTCTGCAGAGTCCTGGTCCCATCAGATAGAGCCACACATCTAGGCAGAAAGCCACCAGCACAGCGAAAGTCACCACACTTTTATTTCTGCTCAGGAAACAAGCCTCCCGGAGCCCTCGGGGTGCACGTGTCCCTCTCGGCCCCACGCCTCCCGCTCCCTCGGGCACTTTTCTTTCCGGTGGGATTTGTCCTCTAGCTCAGGCCCCGCATCTCTGAAGCCTTTAGTAAGACCCACCTGCCTCCTCACAGACTCAGCCAGCGGGGTCCCAAGGGGGTTAGCTCGACTTTTCTCCCCTCCGCTGCTGGGGGTTAGAGGGCGAGGAAAGGACCGGCAGGGAGGGGTGGATCTGTGAACTGCTTGAAAACGAGAAGCTCGGCTTCTAATAACCCGTGTGAGCCCAGCCAGTGTGGCTCGGTGGTTGAGTATCGACCCATGAACTTGGAGATCTCGGTTCAAACCCCCCCCCCAGTCAGGGCACATGCCTGGGTTGTGGGCTTGATCCCCACTAGCGGGCGTGCAGGAGGCAGCCGATCAGTGAGTCATCATTGATGTTTCTCCCTCTCCCTCTCTCTCTCTCTCTGAAATCAATAAAAACATATTAAAAAAAACAAAGATGGATCCTTTCCAGCCAGGGACGCCCACCTGGAGCACTGAGCAGGGACCAGAGACAGACATGGTTGGCTCAGAGGCCCTTGAAGCCGGGAACAGGGTCTGGCTCCTGCAGGCGCTGAGGTTGCCTCCTATCTTTTGCTTTAGGGAGCAGAAGGCACTAGGCTCACAGAGGAAAACCAGGTGGAGGGAGAAAATACCGGAGCCACATGAGCCAGTGTCCTCAGTATGAGCCCCTCACCTAATAATGACGATGGAGGAGGGCCTGGCAGGTGTATCAGACCTTCACACGCTTCACCACGAGTACTTATCACAGCTGCAGCCAGCCCCATTTCCAGATGAGCAAACCGAGGTTCCTGTTCACACCTGCCCCAGATAACCCAAATGTCAGGGCTGGTAATTACCCCGGGGACTCTGAGCGCCATCCCTTCCTGGCCTTTCGGGCAATGTTAATGGTCGAGCCTGCCTGGCGGTGCTGAGGAGGGGACCTGGGGTCTGTCGCAAGCCCCCTTCCTGCCCTCGCTCTGTTCCCCCAGCCCACTGTCCCCGCCTCCTGCAGGACCTGGGAGAGGGGAGCGCTGGCCCTCCTCGCTCAGTAGACAGGAGCCCAACTGTCCTCCTACCACAGCCGTCAACTTCATTTCCAAAACGCCCTAAATCCGCAGCCCCAGGAACCAGGCCTGTGAGCCGGGGTGCAGGAGGGGGAGGGTCCACCTGGGAACACCTGGGGCAGCCTCAGCTGTTCTGAGAGCAGGCAAATCATGCACCCTGCAGGCAGGGCCCTGCTTCCTGCTCCGGATCCTGGATGTGGCCCAGGGCCGCTCAGCAGGGACTTCCCCCTGACGCCAGCCTGGGAACAGGATAGTTCTTGTTTTCTCTTCTCCCAGACCCAGGCCAAGGAGGCGTGCGGGCCCTGCCAGGCCTTCACCTGCTCCTCCAGGAGCCAGGTTGGCCTCTTGGGACAGGACAGAGCCCACGTGGGGCTTCTGGTCTGTGGGTCAGAGACCCTCCTTCTGCCCTCCTTCAGGGAAGTGGATAACTGGGGACACCAGGCCACAGCAGGAGCCCCTGTGCCCAAGAAAGAAAGAGGAAGGTGGCCTATGTTTCTCCCCCAGCTGTGAGGGCAGAAGCGGCCCCCACCCCCATGCTAGGGCTGCCCACAGGCTGCAAGATTAGCAAACGCTGTGGCCAGCTCCAACCTTCCACTCCAGCGGCCTGGAGTAGCTGAGCTGGTCCCAAACTGGCCTAGGCTGGTCAAGCTGGTTCCACGCGGCTGCCCCGGGCCCCAGCTCCCACTGGCAGGTGGCATGTGTCTTTTCTGCTCCCCACGGGGCAGGTTTAGTTGTGGGGATGGTGAGGCAGCTGGCCCAGGACAAAACCTCCCAGTGCCTCCAGGCCTGACATGACCCAAGGCTTCCTACACCCTTGAGCAGTATGGACCTGGAGCAGGCTGTCTTCAAACCCTGGTCGTCAGGGTCCCAGTGGTGTCCCGAAATTCTCACACACACACACACACTCTCTCTCTCTCTCTCTCTCTCTCTCTCTCTCTCTCTCTCTCTCCGCTCTGATCCCACCGTCTCCCAAGCGCAATCCACTGTGAGAGGCAAGGTCAGGGAAGCGTGGCCCCAGCTTTATCGCCAGGTGGAGGCTCACCTAGATGGCCCTTGGACGTCAGAACAGACACCCAGCATGTCCTCCAGGTGAAGCAGAAAGGAATGGATTGTGAGCTCACTCTGGAGTCTTCCGTGGCTCCCAGCTCCCTGCTGCAGTGATCTCCCGCGGGCCTTGCTCTCCCCAACCCAGGCCG